CTGATGCTGAGGCTGAAACGCCAGTACTTTGGCCACCTCATGCGGAGAGTTGACTCATTGGAAAAGACCCTGATGCTGGGAGGGATTGGGGGCAGGAGGAGAAGGGGATGACAGAGGATGAGATGGCTAGATGGCATCACCGACTCGATGGGCATGAGTTTGAGTAAACTCTGGGAGTTAGTGATGGACAGGGAGGCCTGGCATGCTGCGATTCATGGGGTCGCAAAGAGTCGGACACGACTGAGCGACTGAACTGAACTGAACTGAATGGAATCCAGTGAAAGGAGAAAGAACTTGTGGCTTGACATGCTTGTGATCATACTTTCCTTTTTACTTTTCAGTGATGCTTTACTTTAGTTGCAAGAAAACTCAGTGGAAACTCAGAGAGTCTGTCCCCTGATTTTTGAAAAGTACTTAAGAGGATGTGGGACTTCCCTGGTGGCTCAGACGCTAAAGCGTCTGACTACAATGCGGGAGATCTGGGTTCAATCCCTGGGTCAGGAAGATCTCCTGGAGAAGGAAATGGTAACCCACTCCAGTATTCTTGCCTGGAAAATCCCATGGACGGAGAAGCCTGGTAGGCTACAGTCCATGGGGTCGCAAAGTCGGACTCGACTGAGTGACTTCACTTTAAGAGGATGTGACTCATTAGGAACCAGAAGGCACACTGCGGGCTCCAAGATGGTTTCCAATGATTCTTTCTCTCCTGGTATTCTTATCCTTGTGTACTACCAGCTCATGTTGGGATGGTCTGTGTAATATGTAGAATATTGTAGAAATGACAGAATAGGACTTCACAGGCTAGATCTTAAGACATTGCAACTTCTACCTTGTTTTCTCTTGGATCACTCGCTCTAGAAGCTAGCTGCCATGTTGTGGAGACACTCAAGACAATCCCTATGGAGTGCTCCCATGTTGTGGGAGCAGAGGCCTCCTGCCAACAGCCAGTTTTGTGAGTAAGTCATGTTGGGAGTGGATACTGAACCCTATCATGCCCTCAAATGAAAGACCCTAAGCTAGAACCACGCAGCCAAGTCACTCCCGAATTCTTGACCTACAGAAAGTGTGATAATAAGTATTGCTATTTTAAGCTACTAAATTTGAGGTTATTTTACCTAGTAATCAAATTCCCACACATGTGTATATATATATATATATATATATATATATATGTATATATATATTAAAAAAATATATAGTCTCTTGATATTTCTTGATTTTTCTGTACTATAACTGGGTGAATTACTCATGTATTGGGCTTTCTACACAGCTCAGTTGGAAGAATCTGCCTGCAATGCAGAAGACCCTAGTTCAATCCCTGGGTCAGGAAGATCTCCTGGAGAAGGAAATGGCAACCCACTCCAGTATTCTTGCCTGGAGAATCCCATGGACAGAGGAGCCTGATGGGCTACAGTCCATGGGGTCACAAGAGTTGGACCTGGCTTAGCGACTAAACCACCAATGTGGTAGAAGTATGTTTTGTTGCTGAAGTGACTCTAAATTTGCAAGTCATTCCTTTAGAATTTGATTAGTTCTTCTGAAGCACTATGCTTACCATGACCCCTGTGCTTCTTATTCTGGTGTGTACATCACAATATTCACTTCTCCCCAGGGATAAATAATTGAGAGAAATGATGAAGAACTTAATAACTGAGAGAAGTGATAAAGAACTTAATAATGCTCTCCCTATAAGATAAACTAATAATCACAGAGAAAGAAAGTCTCTTACTTGCTATTTTCATTTTTTTTTTTGCAAAAAAAAAACAAACAAAAAACCCCTGAAGCTTAATCATGGATTTACTTTGCTCCAAGTCAAATCTTCAATTTTTTAAAAATAAGTTTTACTTAGATATAATACACATACAGAAAAAGTGAACATCTTGATGAAATGTTACAAAGTGGACACACTCATGTAACCACCATCCAGACCAAAGAAACCAAACATTACCAGCCTTTTAGAAGCCTGTCTGGTAAATTCTACCTACTACTCTTTTCTTACCCCTTAAAGTAAAAAGTATTCTGCCTTCTAAATCATTTATTTATTTTTTATTACTTTTTAACACCAAAAACATTTTGTATTGGGGTATAGCCAATTGACAATGTTGTGATAGTTTCAGGTGAACAGTGGAGAGATTCAGCCATACATATACATGTTTCCATTCTCTCCCAAATCCCCTCCCATCCAGGCTGGCACACAACATTGAGCAGAGTTCCATGTGCTATCCAATAGGACTTTTTTTTGTTAGTTATCCATTTAAAATATAGCAGTATGTTCGTGACCTTCCCAAAGCCCTTAACTATCCCTTCCTCTGCCAGGAACCTTGAATTCATTTTCTAAGTCTGTGAGTCTCTTTCTGTTTTGTAAGTTCTTTTGTATTATTTCTTTTTAGATTCCACATACAAGGGGTGTCATATGATATTTCTCCTTCTTTGACTTACTTCACTCAGTATGACACTCTCTAGGTCCATCCATGTTGCTGTAAATGGCCTTATTTCATTCTTTTTAATGGCTTAGTATTATTGTATTATTCCATTGTATCTATATATAACACATCTTCTAAATCCATTTCTTTGTGGATGGACGTTTAGTTGTTTCCATATCTTGGCCATTGTAAATAGTGATGCAGTGAACATTGTGGGTGCATGTATCTTTTCAGGCCATGTTTTTCTCTGGATATATGCCTAGGAGTGGGGTTCCAGGGTCATATGGTAGCTGGTTTTTAAGGAACCTCCATACTGTTCTCCATAGTGGCCTTACCAATTTACATTTCCACCAACAGTGCAGGAGGGTTCCCTTCTTTCCACATCCTCTCCAGCATTTGTTGTTTGGGGATTTTTTATTTTTAATTTTTACCTTTCCTGGTTGTGCCACACAGCTTGCGGGATCTTGATTCCCTCACCAGGGACAACCCTGAGTCCCCTGCAGTGGAAGCATGGAGTCCTAACCACTGGATCACCAGGGAAGTCTCTTAACGTTTTTTATCAATGTTGAACATCACATAAGTGGAGACATATAGTATGTATTTTTTCATATATGATTTCTTTTCCCCAATTTATTTACCTTTTTTTTACTTAGGATTATAAACACCTTGCCTAATTGTCATTTGTGTCTGCTTCATCTTTTATTTTGGATAAACTTTAATGACAGCCAGAGACTTCAAGTCCACACTAGTGAGTGAAGCTGTGCCTATGTATTTAAGACGAGAAAAAGCCTCCCAGTAATTTATTGGAACGTCACAGAATCCGTGCCTTTTGGTTATCATAAGGCAGAGAGTAGTTGAATTTCTCAGGAATCCAGATTGTCAATTTTTCAAGCTGTATACCTCTGGATAAGTTGCCTCATCATTCAAACGTTCCTAGGAGGATTAAGTAACACGTAAAGACATGTAAAAAGGGAAGGGTACACATATTTCAAGTGTTGTTTTGATGTTGGGTTTGTCTTGGAAGTCTCAGGTGATGATGATTCTTGATTCTTCAGAATGATCTATTGGAGCTCAGAGACTTGATATAAAGTCCCTCAAGTCAAGGAAAACCATATTATTTTTTGTTGGGGGAGGCAGAAAAATATGCATTGTTGGGCACCGAGATTTTGAAGAGTAGCTATAGGTTTTCTTGGTTCTTGTAGGATCCCTATGGTGTGGCTTCCTGCAGGAGACAGAATTTCCAGAGCTAGGAAATTGGATTTCCAGAGTTATTCCTACAGTGAGGGGAGCTAGTTTTGGGTGAACACGGTAATTCTATTCAACAAGCAAGAGAAAAGCTCATCCTTCTTGTTCAACCTGCCACTAGCTGTCTTAACAGGAAAGATGAACACAAGGGGAATTACAGGCTCTGAGGGGAAGCACTTAAGATATAGTGAGCCAGGTCCCACTAAACTTGACGGAGTGCCTAGGGGGAACAGCGTTGTGGATCATTCCAGGCATGGGCAACCTATGGGAGAAGAGCTGCTTGGATGGACCTTCAGTATCTCAGGTGAGTATCTCAGGGCTGGAGGTGACCATGTTCTCGCCCCCCAAAAGGTGATGATTCAAAAAACAAACAACAAAAAAAACCAAACAACTAAACAAAATCCCCAAGAACCCATCCCCCGAGGCGACCACCAAACCCTTCTACGTCCCCCAGGGCACACCACACAGAAAGAGGATCCAGATTCCATACAAAAGCCAACCCTACTTTCTGGCTCCCACACCCTCCCTCCTTCACTACAGGAGGGTGGTGAAGGATTTACGACCCACCTAGTTCTTCCAGTTGCCATGGATACCAACCCCAGTCCTTTCATTCCTTCTGGTACTGGGAACAGTCTCCAACGCAGGAGGAATGGAGGGCTCCTTACCCAAACCCGCCAGTGGGAGTGCTGGGGGAGGGGTGGCGGTTAAACAGAGCGCGACGGACTGGAGGTCTAGACTGCAGCGTTAGAATCAGGACAAAAGCTAAGTTCAGCCGCGGTTCAAGCCTTTCTGTTCGCCAACACCTGCGACCAGACCCTGCGGGACACTGCTGGGCTTAGGGGAGGGGCAAGCCGAGAAGACGGGACGCAGCAGCGAGGTAGGGCTCGGGGGCGCGAGGTGGCTCCCGGGAGAGTTCCGGGGGCCGGAGCGCCGACCTGTGCACTAGCTCAGGAGGGTGCAGCGGCTGGAAGAAGGTGCAGGCCCCTCCACCCACTTGTCCATTGGGCGGCGGCGCCATCACTCTGCTCGGCAACACCGCTCTCCACCTCCGCCCAGCGAGGATCCCCTCCCCCGCCCTCCTCTGCTCCGCCTCGTCCTGGGAGCTTTTCATTGGGCGGAGGCGCAGTCGATTCTCCTCGAGTCAGAGAGCCGATTGGACAGGAGGCCGTCGGGCCGCCCCCAGCCAGCTTGGATTGGCTGGCTGCGCGTTGGCGCAACGGAAGAGGCGGCCTGCCGAAGGTGCTCTTTTGCTCCGACTGGCTTGCCGCGGAGGAGGCGAAGAGGGGACCAGCTCTGGGGGGCTGGCTCGGGCGGCAGCGGTGGCTGCTGCGGATGGGAGCCGGCTGGCTTGCCGCGCCCATGGAGCGCCACGCCAGGGCCGCCGCCACCTCTGCCTCGTCGGCCCGGGAGTCGGTGCTCGGGGGCCCCGATGGGCGGCGGCGGGAGCCACTGCGGCGCCGGGCGAACAGCGCGTCAGCCCCTGCCGTCGGGGCCTCGGCTTCGGCCTCGCCTTCGGGGGAGGGCGTAAGGCGGGATCGGCCAGGCTCCTACAGCGGCGCTACCTCGGCCTCCCGTCAGCGCGTTGAAAGCCTCAGGAAGAAGCGGCCGCGTAAGTGCCCGGCGGGGCGCCTTAGCGCCTCGCCCTGCCCCCTTCCGGCCCGGCCGCCGTTTTTCCCGCGCGCGCGGGCGCGGAAACAGTGCCCCCGCACGGTGGTCCCAGTTGGTGCTTGAGGCTGGAGGCCTCAGGTCCCTCGAACACGCGGGCTTCGGGTTCGGCCCCGTCCGCCCCTTTTGTGGTTCTCTCTTCTGCTTTTCAGTTGTCCGAACGGAGCGTCTTTTCTCAGGACCTTTTCTCCGGTTCTTTTAGCTCTTTGTCCGAGAGTCACATGATTTTTTTTCCTCGAGAAGGCTTTTTGACTTTCACCACCTCCCTTCCCCCGCGAGTCGTTTGAATCACCAGTGCCTCTCCAAGACGTTACATCCTTTTCATCTGGAGGTTTTGGCCTCAAGGGAGATGGTTGAGTTGCTGCAAGCCTAAAACTGGATTCCGTGTTCTGTGCGCTAAGCTTTTGGCTGCTTTTCTTCCCATGAGAATTCGGGTCATCTCTCACCCAGATATCGTATCTATTTTCTTTCCATCTTACTGCCGAAGCTCACAATTCATTACTGTAGCATGCTCGGCTTTTTAGGAATTTTTCTTTTGAGGGAAAAAGACGTCTTCCTGAATATCGTCTTGGCGATTGCACATGCCTTTCACAAAGAATCGGTTTCCCTGTTTTATTATAACGTTTCTTTTTCTGCTTTGTGATCTAGTCCAGATTTTTTTTTTTCTCTTTACGTGTCTTCAGTTCAAGTCCTCTGTCAAGCAGCCATTGCAGCTCTTGAAAATATCCACTGTCTTGATACTCTAATGTGAACTTCTTGGATATAATAACAGTTTACTAATCCATATAGTTATACTGTTTTTTTCGCTTGTTGCCAGATTCCTATTTCAGGAAACCAACTTGTTTTAAATGCAGAATTTGAGAGTGAGAACGTGGCAGTATGAGTGTGAGGTCTTTACTGGATATTACCTCAGTCTTTATTGGATAGTACCTCAGCTCAACAACCCATTTGCTTTACTCTTCTATGATTTGGATGATTAAATATTAAATGCACCTCTAGTTGGCTATGAACAGTTTGAGAGTTTTCAGTTCTTTTGTCTTTCCCTGTGTTCTTGTAAGAAAGTTGGAAAAGAGATTATTCACTCTCAGCCTATGCCATTTTTAGAGCCTGGTGTTGAGAAGCACCTGATTTTTAAGTGATGCAAAACTCCTTCATGGTTTTGAACTTCAATTCCAGAGATTCAGCAAATAATCGCAGCCAGGCAACCAGCTCTTTGTGACCATTGACTACAAAGATTCTAAGTAATATTGTAATTTGGATGTTTGCCACAAATCAGGCAATCTTTAAAAAATTTTTTCATGTACTCTTCTGAAAGCTTTAATAAACTCCTTGCGACCCTGTGGACTCTACAGTCGGTGGACTTCTCTAGGCCAGAATACTGGGGTGGGTAGCCTTTCCCTTCTCCAGGAGATCTTCCCAACCCAGGGATCGAACCCAGGTGTCTGCATTGCAGGCGGATTCTTTACCAGCTGAGCCACAAGGGAAGCCCACCAACAGGTGTACCACTGAACAGTACAGAAAGACCAAATGAAAGGAAAAACAATACCTTGTCTATTTCTTTAGGTCTCGTTATCAGAAAGATGGCTTTTCATGACTTTTATAAGGACTGGTGAGTTCATTAAGGGCTTTCCCAGGTGGCTTAGTGGTAAAGAACCTGCTTGCCCATATAGGAGACGCAGGTTTGATCCCTGGGTTGGGAAGATGCCCTAGAGAAGGGAATGGCAATCCACTCCAGTATTCCTGCCAGGAGAATTACATGGATAGAGGAGTCTGGCAGGCTATAGTTCATGGGGACACAATTGAGCGACTTTCACTTCACTTCACACCAGTTAGCTGTATTGACTGCTGATCCCTTCAAGAGTTATACTTTGCTGTTAACTTTGAGAGAATTCAATAAAGATGAAATCTTTTTTTTTTTATTAGGAGAATTAGGTATAGGGTGGTGCCTCCTTTCTTTTGTTTGGAAACCTCATTCTGATGTTATTGTACTACTTATCTAAAGATATAGGAGACTAGTTATTAGAAATTAGAAAGAGCTGTTTGGTTTATCTTAGGAATTATGAACCCTGATTATAGTCATATTCTGCCAAACATGTTCCCTAGAGCAGCGTGATTCCCTAATCTTCCCATCTCAGACTTAACACCACACATCGTAGTCCTTAGAGATATGGCTAGGGGTGTGTGTGTGTGTCTAAGAAATTCTTTGAACATTTTAGATTAGGTGGAGTATGTTTCATAGGTCTGCGGCTAAGTCGCTTCAGTTGTGACAGACTCTGTGCAACCCCATAGATGGCAGCCCACCAGGCTCCTCCATCCCTGGGCGTCTCCAGGCAAGAATACTGGAGTGGGTTGCCATTTCCTCCAATGCATGAAAGTGAAAAGTGAAAGAGAAGTCACTCAGTCATGTCCGACTCTTAGCGACCCCATGGACTATAGCCTACCAGGCTCCTCCATCCATGGGGTTTTCCATGCAAGAGTACTGGAGTGGGTTGCCATTGCCTTCTCCTCATAGGTCTGAGAGAAATATAAAGATTGGTTTAAAATGATGGAAACAAAGATGCTAATGATAGTAACATAATACTTAGGTGTTTATATTAAACACTGAGCCAAATACTTTATAAGCATTTCTTTTGAGTCTTGCAATTATTCTCTGAGATGGATATTTGTGATCTCCAGTTTCCAGATGAAACATTTTCCCTTGGTCCAAGGCCATATAGAGAGAGAGTAAGGGAGCTGTGTTTTGATTCTAGTTGTGGGTGTCTGACGTCAGACCCAGTGTTTCTTTGACTTTCCACATCTTGGAAGGTACAGGTGACATAATCCAGAGTAGTGGTGGAATCACTCAGTAGCTAAAAAACAAAAACTGATCTGCAGAGAGGTCCAAAAACATATTTTAATTTTTAAAATTTCATTTTTTAAAGTTTATTTATTTTGGTTGTGCTGGGTCTTCATTGCTGCATGGGGTTTTCTCTAGTTATAGCCGGAAGGGGCTACTCTGTCATTGTAGTGCACAGGTTTCTTACTGCCATGGTTTCTCTTGTTGAGAAGCAGGGACTCTAGGGTGCCCAGGCTGCAGTGGTTTTGGCTCCTGCGTTCTATAGAGCGCAGGCTCAGTAGTTTTGGCACGCGGACTTTAGTTGCTCCAAGGCATATGGGATCTTCCCAGGTCAGGGTTCAAACTGTGTCTCTTGCATTGATAGGTGGATTCTTTACCACTTAGCCACCAGGGAAGCTCTAATTAAAAAATTTTTATTGAGGCATATTTACATACAGTAAAATGTATGATTTTGACAAATGTAACAAGAGAACACACATTTTAATCTGGAGCCCCAGATGTACAGCAGATGTGTAGGAGGTGTGTGAAACTCAGGGGTCACAGTGCTTTATGGCAGTGTGGGGGGATGAACTGGATCTTGGAAGGTGATGTTTAAGCATGTGAAGCATATTTCAGTACTCCAGGGAAAGCTTCGTGACGTGCTGATTTTGAACTCGTACCAATCATTGAATGTCCTTAACCTCCATTAGTCTAGAAGATACAGCTTTTGTTTGTAGCTTGATAGTACTAATCTAGAAAATAGTTAGCTTTTCCTTGGCATTTGAGCAGCAGTGCTGTCAGAATGAAACTGGTGCTTGGGCCCTGAGGGGCTGCCTTTTGTCTGGTGTAGAGTTTCCTCTTCAGTTAGGGAGTTAGAAAGGCCACCACCAGGAGCTCAGGAAAAAAGTGAGATTTCTATTTCTTTGTAGCCCATTTTTGAGGGACAGAATAGGAGAGGATGCTTTAAAAAAAAAATAATTCATTTGGCTGCCTCTGGTCTTAACTGCGGCACGAGGATCTTCCCTTGCGGCACACGAGCTGTCTGGTTGTGGCGTGGGCTCGGTAGTTGCTGTGGCTCAGTTGCTCCATGGGGTGTGGGATCTTAGTTCCGCAACCAGGGATAGAACCTGCGTCCCTTGCGTTGCAAGGTGAATTCTTAACCACTGGATCACCAGGAAGTTCATTGACTGGTCACTTAAAATAGCATTGAGGGATTTCCCTGGTTGGTGTAGTGCTTAAGAATCATCCTGCCAAAAAAAAAAAAAAAACTCCCTGCCAGTGCAGAGAACAGGGGTTTGATCCCTGGTTCTGGGAAGATTTCCCATGCTGCAGGGCAACTAAACCTGTGCACCCTAGAGCCTGTGTTCCACAGCAAGAGATGCCACCACAATGAGAAGCAGGTGCTGCAACTAGAGAGTAGGCCCCACTTGCCGCAACTAGAAAAAGCCCCCAAGCAGCAAGGAAGACCCAGTGCAGCCAAACATAAATACATTAAAAAAAAAAAAAAAAGGATTGAGGTTCTTTGGGCTTAAATTTATAACCTTGTGAGCTCTTTTCAGGTTCATAACTTGGGGTATGAAGTTCGTAACTTTATCTTTAAACACTTGTTTCTCAATGTTCTTTTCTCAGTTTTTGTCAGCAAGGTAGACTAAGATGAAAGTCCTTTATAATGGCTTAAAGTTTGCTTTCTAAAAGTGAAAGCTATCTTGCAGTTTTTGGTTGGCTCTTAGGTTTTGTTATTTATACTTCTTGAATGTAAAATTTATTATTGAATCTGCTGGTTTTATAGTAGGTAGTATTTTATAAGTATCTGGTCCCTGAGTTAAACTATTTAGGGAATATTTTTGAGGTCTGTCTTTTAATCTGAGGCCAAAGCTTGCTGCTTAGACCAGCCTAGGGGTTTGGGTTTGCAGTGTCTTAACCATGTGTGGTCTGGTAAAGATGTAGTTCATAATGTTGAAAAATTGAGCACACTTTTATAAATCATATATTTCTCATTGGAAAGCATTTCAGTTGGCACCTATTATCAGAGTGCTAATGGTTTGTGTATAGATTTGTGAGAGAAAGTTTAAATTCTTTCTAGGAAAGTATCCTAAGTCAAGTGCACATTGTCTAGACACAGTGCCTTG